CTCCATGACACTTTGGAATATGCCAGGGGCTACATTTACCCCAAATTGCAATCTTTTGACCTTGAAGGTCAGCATCTATCTTACTTTTGAGGGCAAAAGTCACCCTTCTAGGCTTAACCCTGATGGGCATGATAGTTGGGTCTAACCGTAGTGCAATGGGAGACCCCTTGTAGGATCCTAGCTCTGAACTAAACACATCCGCAAACGCTTTGCAAACCTCTGCAAGGCCCAATGTTTGCAAGTTGTGCAGCCCAGTTACTTGGATTCCCAGAGCCTCGAACCAATTGAGTCCAATAAGACTCGTACGTTCACCCCCAACTACCACTACAACCAGGAACCCTTCAAAATCCTTACGCTGTACCTTGAGTGTGGCCTCCCCCTTTACACAGACCTTAGAATTTTGAAAATCAGTGAGTATTAGATTAACTCGAAGGCCACTACTGCTGCAAATCCTTTTGAAGGTGTTAAGGGAAATAATTAATAGAGTGGACCCTGTGTCCAACTCCATCAATAAGGGAACCCCTTGAAACTTCACATCAATGTGAAGTTTTTTCTTAAGGGGCTTGTGTGTCCCTGTCCTCAGAATGCACAGAAGCCCACCCTGTGTTGGCTGGGGACCTTGGTACCTTTCAGAAGCAATTCTTCCTGAGGTTGGACTTTCTGGCGACCCAAACAGGCAGAGGTGATGTGGCCTTGCCTGCCACACGCCCTGCAAATGACAGAGCGAAACCTGCAGTCAACTCGCTTGTGGCGTCCTCCACACTCGAAGCACTGAAGAGATGCTGGGGCCTTGTCCGGATGGCCCTTCATCCTCCTTTCAGCTGGCGGTGAAGTCTGTCCACCTCCTCTTCAGGATCTGCTTCTGATTCTTCTCAAGCGTCCTCTTGATGGACGGTAGTGGTGGCTGGAGGGTTCCTGGCAAGCCGCAAAGCCTTCACAGCACTGTCTGCTGCTTCTTCAGCTACCACCTGTCTCAGCATGTCTTGGAAGGAGACCTCTTCTTTCGCAAATATCTTGTGTTGTAGGTTCCTACTTCTTAAGCCACACACAAAACGATCATGCAGCCTCTCTTCCAGGTCCTTGAACTCACAAGGCCTGGCCGCTTGCCTTAGGGCAGCAATAAAGTCCGCAGCAGATTCACCTGGCCTCTGGTCTCTCTGCTCGAAAGCGTGCCTCCAAGCGATGACAGATAATTTAGGCTGGAAGTGTTCCTTCAACATCTTCAAATCAGCGTATGTTACTGATTCCAGAAGTGCAGGGGCCACCAGACTTCCCGCGATGTCAAAAGCTTCCTGTTCACATGCACACAGAAGAGTTGCTGCCTTCAGGCTGTCTTCTCTTATTTGATTTACTCTAAAGTAGTTCTCCACCCGTGCTACGTATGAATTCCATCTCTCAGGGTGGGACATCAAAATCAGTCAAATGGCCAATCTTTGACATCATAATCTCTCCGGCCTTCGCTAATTGCCTCCTCTGCAAGCTACACTTTAGGAAAGGGTCCTCTTGCCAAGCTCACCTCCAGCAATGCTGTACTGGCAGGCTGAGTCACGAATGCAGGATGCTGTCTTCCGATCATCAGGACCTCCTTGGTGAGGCCTAATTCTTTTCTTTGCTTGCAGGGATCCCACCTTCATCGCCAGAGTTGTGTTTTCCGTTTGTTGGCAATTGACGAAGACACATGGTGAAAACAACAAGCTCTTTATTACTTTCTCCTACAATCAAGCAAACAGCAAAAGGCACACAGGCCTTTTATAGTGCCTGAAACCCGGACAGTGTGAACCAATAGGAATTGACCATTTTCACGCCTTGTGCATGTGCACAAGGCTGGCACCACTCTGTCTGGTCCCGGTCAGCTTTTGGCTTGCCCGGGAGCATTTGCAACAAATCTGAGCCTGCTTTCATCTCTTGCAGGCTCAGGACAATAACATAGATACATTTCAATCCTTTCAATCCTATATTTTCCTTTGTTAAATTATAACAAAAAAAATTGGCCCACTTTTCATGCAATCTTCCCTTTATTCTTCTGTTCCAAATTTCATGAAAAGTCTATTCATTTTAGCAATTAAATGTTCATGATTTGTATAGAATTCAAACAGTTTTAGAATATTTAAATCCATACTTTTTATTACTTTATTTTTTTCTAATAATTGTAAGAGAACCATTCACAATTATATCTCTCTGCAATGAGTTATTTTTTTTTATTCTACATGCTCCTTGAAAAAAATCTAGTATTTCATAAGAAGTTAGTCATTTGTGTTTGCTGATTTTTCTCACCTATAATATGCTTCTTAAGCTGAGAGCTTCAGAGATATTTTTGGGCATAACCTGGATTTGCATCTATTCCATATTCTCAATAAATCTAACATAATGGTTTTTTAAATCCATATTCACCTTGATTTTGTTGTACTATTGCTATTTCCATTGCAATAGAAGCAAGCCCTACCATTAAACCAAAAACCTTTGTGGAATTTGCTCTATGAGAATCTTTTAAAACAAATTACATCATTTTTTAACTGAAGCAACATATAAGGAAGCAAGAAAATAAATAAATCAATATAATCATATAGCCTGATGTAACATCTTATTTTAAAGAATAAGGGGCAGGAATCCTTGCTGGTATAGTGATTTCTTATAATCTTCATTCTTGCAGATGTGCAATATTGTATTGTTGTAACTGATGTCACAGCAGAACATCTTATCAGCAAAGAAATACCATCAAAAAGGCTGAAAGAAAGTGAAGTTGAAGATAAGAAATGTCAGCAGCCAGAAAAAGTTTATTCACACCACTCTCTGTCTGTATCCAGCAATCTATGTCCATGCCCTGCTGAGCAGTAGTGGCACAGTGGTTAGAATGCAGTACTGCCAGCAGTTCAACAGTTCGAGTCTCAGCGGCTCAAGGTTGACTCAGCCTTCCATCCTTCCAAGGTTGGTAAAATGAGGACCCAGACTGTTGGGGGCCACCTGCTGCCTCTGTAAACTGCTTACAGAGGGCTGTGGAGCACTGTAAAGCGGTCTAAGTGCTATTGCTATTGCTATATCACTTTTGCTGCTCCAACAAAACTGGCAGGGGAAATTTCTCTTGTGCTGTTTTCAGACAGAAGGTAAAAAAAAGCAAAATAGCTTTTTGTAACAAGAGCAGCATAATAATAATAATAAAGTTGGAAGGGACCTTGGAGGTCATCTAGTCCAATCCCCTGCTCAGGCAGGAAACCCTATACCATTTCGGACAAATGGCTGTCCAGTCTCTTCTTAAAAACTTCCAGTGTTGGAGCACTTACTGCTTCTGGAGGCAGGTTGTTCCACTGATTAATTGTTCTCACTGTCAGGAAGTTTCTCCTTACTTCTAGGTTGCTTCACTCCTTGATTAGTTTCCATCCGTTGCTTCTTGTCCTACCTTCAGGCACTTTGGAGAATAGCTTGACTCCCTCTTCTTTGTGGCAGCCCCTGAGATATTGGAACACTGCTATCATGTCCCCCCTCATCCTTCTCTTCATTAAACTAGACATACATACATACATAGCATGCAGCATGCTGTGGTACGATCAAGTACAGCTCAACAGCTCTTTCTCAAAAAAAGAAAAGAAAAAGACATTGCTTGTCATTTCCCTGTCTCTTTGGTAATGCTTGTTTTCCTCTCCTCATCACACCACAGTGCCAATAGAGGCACACAGGGCTTCTCACATACCGCAGAGTTAATAACTAATTCTTTCACACCTGCAAAAACAAAAGCTGATCATTTTACAGAGAGAGAAGTTTTAAGCATGAGGAGTTTTTGAAGGCTGTGGCTTGATGAATGGGAAAAAGAAAAGATGTTTCAACAAAGGTATCTTGCAAAACTCAAGCAAAAGAAAAATGCGCAGACTTTGCATATGATTCAGAAGCACCCGGCTTCTTTTTGCAGAACACACAAATTAGTACACGCTGTGACCTCGGCATGCTCCCCATCCAGTAGGATCAGCAGTTGGAAGATAAATAGAGCACAACAGGGGATAATGATCAAATTTCGCTACAGTTCTACTGGGTTTGAAAAGGTAGCAGCTGCTTCATAAGAATGGGAAGTAAGACAGCAGGAAAAAAGCTGCTTTAAACTGACATTTTCTACCTTACATAAATAGTATTTGCATGTCATGATTATTTTTTTAAAAAAACATCATTTTCAGAGTTTACCCAATACATTTAGTTTACACAGCAATAATGGGCAGGCTTGTGGTTCATTGTGTTATGCAAAGATGGGTGTTATTCATGGAGCTCAATTCACCACCTGTCTCAGCTCTATTGTGTCTCAGTTCGGCACCACAGGTCTCAGCCAAACCATGTGGTGGTTGATTCATATTTTTACAGACTGCAAACAAATAGCCTATGCTGCAGAGTAGCCACAAGGAGAACAGCTTGATTGTCTTATGTGCCAGCAGCATGAATTTCTTGCAAATTATTTGTGTTTCTTTGTATCAGTCCAACATCAACCTAACAAAGAATATTTCAGTCATTTGGTTTGTTCTATATTACATTATTTAGATAAAACCTCTATTTCTTCTCTCCCAATTCTCCAAGGCTTGCTGATTTACAGCTAAGGGTTCAGATCTACAAAACACTGTAAATAAGGTAAGATGAATTGATCTGGAAGATCTAATTTTGTTATTTTGCTGATTCTATTCCTTGGATCAAAACAAAATATATATGCATGCACACTTCAATAATGTACTTCAGGATAGGGACAAATGCAGCATTTCTGAGCTACTCATTAAAGCAACTGCATCATTTTTCAGCCTTGAGTTCTTGTGGTAATCAGTAGCACAGATATGATGTGGGTTCAATGAGTACCCAAGCATTTCTAAGCATGTCCAATCACATGTATCTATGCAAACAAAAACTATATGTTTCTGCCCATCTATAGTAATGAAACAACCCAAAATGTATGGCAACATAGAATATGTTTTGGATATTTGACTTAACCAAATGCTGACATCAGGCCTAGATTATGAAATGTTAGACCTACTTACCTATAGGTTGGTGACCACCAGTGCTGACAGAAAGCTGTGCTCGACAGTAAGCTTTGCTGTCCACTAATTCTGAGGATTTAGGAAGAAAAACATTAATGTAAGAAAATATTTTTCCAAAGTAATTTCTCAGAGTTGTTTAAAAATATATGAGGTTCTTAAGGTAGTTACCTACTGTGCCACCATATCCACTATCATAGAAATAATTGTCTTCTTTCCAAGAGGTCATTAAAGATGGATCTTTTGCACAAAAAAGAACAGAACGAAAATCAATATTGGTTAAATAATACTCCTAGTTAGTTACAAGAAATGTTCCACATTCAGAACAGAAAATTTAAATTTTCAACAGAGATAATGCATACAAAAGCATCCGAATATTTTATTAATGACAAGAAGGTATATTTCATGGTCCAAACATTAGACATTTTCATCTCCAAGGATGAACAATTGGACATACAAAATTGTTCTGCTTTGTTCAGGAGCAGAGGTAGAGAAAAGCCATGCTAACAGTGAGGACAGCATGGACTCACTTTAAACCAATCAGAATAGAGCTGGAAGGGGCCTTGGAGGTCCTCTAGTCCAACCCCCTGCTCAAGCAGGAGGCCTATGCCATTTTCAATCTGCTCAAGAATGATGCCATGCTTTAAAGCTATTTTTGAAACTTTGACTTTGCTGTAAGTGCTGTACCAAGGGTAGATGCTGCATTGACAGCTAGTGTATGCTGAGGTTGCCTCTGTTGTGGGTGAGTAAGATGGCAAAAGGCTAATGAGTCATTATTTGGCTCACTCTTCCTCGGTCTTGCTCCAAACATGGCACTCACCTGACCCCATTTTAAAGCCTGCACTCCATCCTTTAAGCTCCTGCAGCTTCTCAAGTTTCAACAATTGTTATTTTGTTATTTAAACAATATTTTCATAAAGCCTTTCCTTCTTTCTTTGGATGCCTCACATTTTCTTTTCATGTGCTATTGTTTTTTTTTTATTATTATTTTTATTGTGGCTAAAAGCCTCAAAAATTGTAAACAGCTCTTGGATCTCTCAAAAGTTCTGATTTTGTAATTGCTGCTTTGGTAAGGCAGCAAGGAATCCTGTATTCAGCTAATTGCTCTTTTTTGTTATTTCTGTTTAAACACACTTCCTCAGTTCTACATCTAACTTTTGTAGCCATTGGGAAGACAGAGAGGGATACAGATAACTATGACTATATTAAGCATGTTCTCCAACTGCAATCACATGGTATAAATTTGCTCTTTTCTTTCTAAAATTTTGACCTGATAATCTTGGAGGATGGCAAGAAATAAACATATTATTGTAGGAATAATATGGGAGGAAGCGGAAAACAAAATAAAGGTTTCACGACTGTTCTAAATTTATCTTTTGACCCATAGAACATACAGATGAGCACACTACTTATCTGGGTATTGTTACTAGAGATTAGTCCTTCTGTACAAACATTTGTCCCTTTTTTTAGAAGACGTTAACCTTGTTTTTGTTTCCATTTCCAAATACAAGTTTGGGGACCTATTTGTCTTTTAAAGTAATGAATATGTGATTACATCTGGAAATGAATCATGACGAATGCTAAACCTTTGTGCTTTGCCAGCTTAAAACATATGAAATAGGAATTTGGTCAATCTTCCACTTACTAGCTACATGTCCTTGCAGCATAACCTCTTGTAGTTTAGATGCCTGATCTATTCTTTACTTTTGTGTTTTTTTTCCTTTCTAAAAATAAAAAAGAGTCACCCAAGTGGGATTGGGGAGTAATATTTTTGCTATTCTGCATGGCACAAAAATATTGCAATAGCATTTAGCTTAGTGTAAGAATTCCCAAAGGACTCAAACTATTACATGGTATTTTATTTGATAATGTAAAAAAAGAATTTGAGAGATTCAGTGGGCAAGACACTGGGAAAATTCAAAATCAGGTGTGTCTTCAGCCACGGAAGCTAAATGAGTGATTTGGGATCAGTCATTATCTCCCAATAGATCCCTAATCTATCTTAACAGAATTATTGTTATGGTGGGGGGAGGAAATAATCACGTTGACCTCTTGGAGAAAAGATAGGATATAAATCTAATGGATGAATGAATAAAATAATCTCAGATTTATTGCACTGAAATCAACAAATGTTGAAAAAAATTCCCCTATACTTTTAAAAATATTTAAAAATATATTTTTTTAAAAAGGATATGGACATCATTTGCAATTATTTACAAGTTTGTAGGGTTGTTATATAATTGGTGATGATCTGGATGATGTGACCTTTTACTTAGAACCTTTCTATTAGTTCTCCATAAATTTACTTCTTATTACCAGAGCAAACCCATTAAAAAACAGAAGAGTAAGGTAATTAAGAAATATTTCTTGACTGTTAGGTTTGGATCTGTCTACTTGAACATATCTTAAAAGTATATATCTTGTTGGCTCTATTACATCCTGTTCTTTTCTAGGTTGCCAATGCCATATTAATTATCTTTATTTATCAACATGAATCCCCAGAAATTTCCTATAGCTTTCTGAATACACTCTTAATATTATTAATGCTATAATAGGACAGACTGCCTATTCTGATGTAGTAGCTTTCAGGGGTATCAAGCAGAGAAAAATCTCTTTCATCAGGTATTGCTGGAAGGTTGCCATCCAAGATTAAACTCAAGACCTCTAGCTTGCCTACCTATGATAGTAATTTATAAACTCAGAAGGAAAGAAGGGGACTCCCTTGTGGTCACTTGTGAAAAATTTGAAATACTATGAAATGGGGAAAAAGACTTTATACTAAACTGTGAAATAAACTGATATTATACACTCTATTGTTAGGAATTTCCAAATAGCTCAATGGCTATGGATCATATAATTTTGTTAAAAAATACCTTTTCAGTCTAATATTGAAAATAATATTTCACCTCAATATTAGACTGTCTAGGTTATATTGACCTAAAACAGGGGTGTCAAACTCAATTTCATTGAGGGCCACATCAGCGTTGCGGTTGGCCTTGGGGGGCTGGGTGGGTGTGGCCTACTGGGTGGGCGTGGATGGAGTGGGTGTGGCCTACTGGGTGGGCATGGCCAGTTCTACATAGTTCATGTCAAGGGTACCTGTGGGGCCTGGGCAGGAGTGGGACAGATCTGAGGGTCTTTGGCAGAAGGGTGGGACCGGGGCAAGTGCCAAGGCATGGTCCATTTCTTCATTCCTCACAAAGGGTGACACCTCCCCAGTATGCACCCAGGGGCAGGGCCGACACAGCAGGGGCTGGTTCCTCGCTGTTTCTAGACGGCCTTGTGGAGCTAAGACTGAATGTGTTTCAGCATAGATGGCCACCACAAAATTGTACATTGGCTCCCGGCTGGCCTGGGCCAGGGCCAAGGCAGCGGGGGCCATTCCCTCACTGTTTCCAGGATGGCTTCGCAGGCCACATTAAACCACTTTGCGGGCTGCACCAGGCCCCCAGGCCTTGTGTTTGACATGTCTGACCTAAAACATTACCTCTCGAATCAATGAGTCTAAATGGCTAATGTAATGTTAGTAATGTTATAATGATTAAAAAATAATTCTTTAAACATTTACATGGGCTCATCTAACCCCTTCTTGGACTTATGAGTTATTTGGTTCTAAATAACCATTCTCCTTGTTCTTTCCTAGTTTGCCATTATTCAGAACAGAAATAATATAGATATTGCTCACCTGTTTGTTCTGTCTTAACAATGACATTGTGTGATGGATACACTTCACTTCCACACTGAGCTGACAGAAATGAATGCAATATGCAATGCAATTATTATAAAAATGCAGAATTTCAGCCATACCTCCCCCCCAGAACAGCTGGGTTATATTAACAATAGGAAACAATGCCATTGGGAATTACATAAATAATATATCAGAATAACAAAAAGAAAAATAGATATTCTCATGTTAGCAAACACCAGCAGATTTTCTTCTTATTAAATATTATTTAAAGAATCAGATTTACTGAAGCAAAGAAGTCACACATTTTTAATATAGGGAAGGCAACATTATCTTCAATAATGTTGAAGTTAACATGGTGACAATTATGCACTACAGACAGTCTTCAGTGTATGCCAAGAATCTTGTCCTGACTGGAAAAAAAATTAAAGTATTCTTAAGTTTAACAAAATTTCACATTTATAATATGCTTATAAAAATACTTGAGATATCCCTAAAACCGGGGGGGGGGGAGTTGAGTTGGGATAATATAGGTTAGAGATTCCCTATTTAATTATTATTTAGTGCTTGTGGATGTAATAATCATTGCAGCCATTTTGTGAGAGCACTTATGTTCTCAGGATTCCAATTTTTTTTACACTGAACTAAATCTAATTTTTTAAAAAAGCACCTTGCTGTCCCATTCTCTCTGGGGTTGAATTAAACAGAATGTACTGATATAGGTTTGCATTTATGTTCCATCCCAAGGTATTTGTACATTATATGATTTATAATGCCAGATATATCTGGCATAAAGATCTGAAAAGGACCCTGAAAGCCTGACTGAATGTCCTATATATTTTTCAAAACTTCCTATTGGGCTATGGGGACATTTTGTTGTAAATTAATGGAAGTAAATTAATGGAAGTAAATTAATTTTCAGAGACTTTGGCTAAATGGTCTCTGAGACCTGGATCTGCAGCATAACGATGCTTCTTCTTCTTCTTCTTTTTTTTTTTTTTTTGTTAAGCCTTGGAACTAGCTGTTTTGATCTTCTGCCATATTGAGCAGTAGATATCTTTAAGATCACAAAAGGAAAGAGATGCCACCAGAAATATTATTTCTATTTCTACAAACCTAGAAAATAATGTTCAAATTTTTAGATCAATGGTTTATAGTGTAGACTCGGAACAGTTCAGTGACAAATGAGTTGAGCAGGATATTTATTATAAAGTTTCTCTTTCCTTTTACCTCTTAATGACTTCTGAATGCAAGGAATACATTTTGAACAAAATTTTATATATTGTGTCTAAATCTTGCTTTCCCAGCCTTATTCATTGCTAATTTCCATCATCTTTCATTATTGATCATATTGGCTAAATTTGATCAGAATTAGCAGTCTATTAGTACTATAATAACTGATGATCAGAAGTTGGAAAAGGTAACATATATTTTAGTGAAAATTTTACCATTCCACTTTAGATGATGGAGGTTGCTGTAAAGAAGTTGTCCAGCAGAACCAGCTGCCCGGGTAAAATCATGCAAAGTCATGCTACACAGATGATCCCCACTGATGTCAAATTCCTGGAATGGGATACAGTTGGCATCAAGCTGGTTGGTGTCCAAAAGATGTTGGAGCCATTCCCAGACCTGATACTTTGTCCAGTACTGAGGATGTATTTCATGCCACTGTGTTCCAAAAAAATTGCTTGATGCTGCTGCAGGGAAAGATGTAGTAATCACTAAAGAAAACATTTCACTATCCATGAATAATATTGGTGAAAGTGAAGAATGGTTCATTTTTATTTGTGTATTAAATTATTGGGGAAAAAAATCCTCATCACATGAAAAGCCATAGTACAGACAATGATAAATAATGAGAATAATCATTGATGTAAAGGTGATATAATAAATTAAGCAGCAGAAAGCAGAGTCAATAAAAACAAACATCTTTAGGAATTAAAATGTAAATCTAGAACTTTGGCTCCAGCCCTTCCAAACAGCAGCTAAATTCTATAATAGAATAGAATAGAAAAATAAGTTTTTGGAAAAAAACTTCATTGACATTGATGAAGAGGATTAGACTACTTTTATATACTGGATGGAAAACACATAGCAGGACTTTTAAGGAAAAAAAATCAGTTATGAATAGTTAAATAGTCTTTATCCAAACTATTTATGTTCAAATTAGTAATTTGAGTTTCCAGAAACTAAATGGAAACCAATTACATGATATCAAAATCAGAATCTCCTGCAATCTAACACCAACCTAGATAATATTTAAATGATATTGACTATGACTTCAGAAGCAATTACAATTTGGAGGCATTCTCAAAAAGCAGCCTCATGTAGATCACATTACAATAATCTTATTAAGAGTTCATTAAGAAAATTAACTATGACTGTGATATGTTTATTCCTATTTTTAAAAGAATGCAGTTAGTGGACAAAATGAAGTCAGCATGAGCATCAGCTATACAGAATTCTGATCTTGGGATTTATAATTATCTATTTACCCCAAGGCAAAGCATGTTCCTTATAAACAACTCAAAGTGAATCTTGAAGAATTTATAAAATAAAAATTCTAGTTATTTGATGGGCAATCCATGATTTTTATTTTATTTTTTTGCGGTAAATGTTGAATTGATATTTATTGAATTGACAACAGTAGCAGCCAAGATTACAATAAATATATGATATAAAAAGTTGGAATACATTTTAAAGAAATATCAAGTTTTAAAATTGTAGTTGTCTGCAAATTAAATCCTAAATGTTTTTTTTAAATATATGATTTAAGGAAACATACTTTAGTACTTTAAATTATATCAGCTTTATGGACTCAAAATACCAATATCATTCTATTTCCATATTCAGAAATAAGTGCTTATTTTAAATTCAGTAATGAGAAAAACATTTTTATGATCCAGTTATGTGAATATAATTTATTTGAAGTCAAGTTTAAAGGGCATTTCAGTCAAGTGCCAAATGAAAAGGTTTCTACCTCACCCAAAATTACTTCTGGCCATTGGTGGTAATGTTAGTTTCATTGCCAGGGAGACACTATTAACATTAGCTCAGCACAGCAAGAATTGGGATCGAGAATTTCAAGTTGAAATGGTGCACTTTCCAGATTTCAAACTTAGATTAAAATGTGTTGTCTGTTTGGGTGGAGTTGCCTGGTAGATGTTACTGATAATATACACTTTTTAGAAAGCAAATGCTTTCTTCTTCTTTTTTGCTTTAATACTTTAAATTAAAAAAAAACCATAAGAATGGGAAAATAATTGCATTCACTAAAATTTTTGTTTACAGAAATTGGACAGTATTCTGTAAGATTGTAATTTTAAAAAACTGAAAGTTTATCAAAATAAAAAGCATGCTTTGCAAATAGCACAAGGACATGAGAAAGATGGATAGTTCTCAAACCTATTCATAGATCACCACTGGTGAATACTTCCTACCATTACATGTGGGATATCCTTCTGTCCAGGTCGACTGTTCATGAAGAAGACTTGTGACGGAATTAAGACTCATTCTGCCAGTTCCTTCTAAAATCATGATCTGCAAATGCACCAAACACTCACTTAAACTTGAACTTTTTTCCCCCACAATTGCCAAGAATATTCCATCAAAACAAGCAATGCCAAGTATCTATCAAAAGCTACCCTATTAAAAACACATTATTACAATTCCTTTTTGGATGAAAAAAAACCTCCAGTGAATAGGAAAACATGATTACATTTGATTTTCACCGACACCAGGCAAGTTATTACAACACCCATCCATAAAGAATGAAGGAATGAATCAAAAACAAATAGCATGGGAAATCTGATTTCTTTTTTTGTTTGCTTCCCGAAAGTAAAAAAAAACAAAACCTCATAAAAGTATAAAACATAATAGTGAATGTTAAAACACAAGTAATGTTATTGGACCCTCCCATTAAGGCAAATGATACCAAAATAATTTTAACAAATATATAATTTACATAATGGTAGCTATACTTCAATGGATTTATATGCCGCTTGAGAAATAGCACGAATATGTTGCATTTGGCCTGCAACGTGACTGTATTCAGTAGCTGAGGCTAGAAGCTGTTGAATATAAGCTCTTAATATTGTCGTAATATCAAACCAAGAAATAAAAGATAAGTTTGGATAAAAATTGAATCACCCAATGGAGAAGGAGAGGCAGGTAACATTTGCTGGTTTTTCCCATCCCTTTGTAGTTTTATCCTTTGCATTGTTCTAAGTGGGTCCATTATTCCATAAGTTATGTGTCACTTTCCAAAAGTCTATGTCCAGGATGAAGTCTACTTCTGGTCACTGTCAGTTTTGTGAAAGTTTAATCCAAAACTCCATTCTGCTTCCTATTTTGCTCATCCAGGATTAATTGTATTGGAATTCATGGGAAGATGCAGTGCTAGAAAAATGCTTCTGACATTTAACTTTCCAGAATATTCTATCTAAAGTGATTTCCCTTGCCAACATAAGAGTAATTTTGAAAGTTTGAATTGTTATAATTTATCACAACTAATTCACTACATCAAATCTTCTGAATATTTTCAAATTGCTCAGAATCTGCAACTTATATATGTTCATTGGATAGGGAATTAAATCACTTTGTTCCTTCTCCATAAATTGATTTCTCTTACTGCTGCTATTCTTCTCAAAAGATGCAGGTTCCTTATTTATCAGCTATAATATGTTCTACAACAAATTCCTACCAAAATAAAAACTAAAAAAAGAAATTACATATTTGGTTGGTCCTTAATGAAAAGCAAGGTTCGATTTAAATCTAATAAGTTTCATTGTCATAAAAGTGGGAATAATGAACGTTAAGCAGTTCATCTAATTCCAACAAGAAAGAAAGATGTCACGGTCAGCAATCACTGTTTAAAAATGTATGTAATAATGTTCTGAACTTAAAAGTGTAAAAGTTATCATACTTCATTCCCTAAAGAACTATCATTCATTCAATTATATAAAAAATAAAGATATTGCTATTTCTTTTCAATTACAATCAAAGAAAGATTATGATTTCTGAGTTAAGACTTGAATTTGCTCTCAGGTGTGGCAGATAAACTTCCTGGTTCAAATCCAAGATTGATTGGAAGTTAGACTGTTTTCCAAGTCAATGAATGGGCTGAAATGGGATTTTGTAGTCACTAGACACTACCTATGTAATGTGTGTGCGCACATGCATGTATATTCATGTGGATGCATGAGTATTCAAGATGCTATGACTCCTTCATATTTTTCCATACCATTTCAATCAGCTTCCTAGAATATACTGTAACTATTTTTTTTAGTAACTACTAGTCTTCCCATTAAATAATGTAAAATTGCTGCCTTAGATAACCAGTAAAATGAATGGCCAACAAATTATTGCCACCAGAGATTAAGAAAGATAACTTTGAGATTTTTCTGTTCCATATGTCGCATTCTTTTAGCATATTCTGCACCATCATTTAGGTTGGCAGTTCAAGTAGCAAAATCTCTTGGGCAAGCTCTGGCTTTAATACTTTGTATGAAATTGTAGTTATTAAAAATAACATTTGACATTATGATAATTGATAATTGATCTAATTATCACTGAAGCTTGAAAATAATTTTCCCAGCAGATAACTATTTTCCCTGTCCCACTACAAAAGTTACAGAATGTTAGAATAAATTGCCACACTTATCAAAAGGTCTGTTTATCTGAAACCAGAGCTCTTATTTTGATAAAAGATATTCAGCTCAGCTTGCCACATCAGGATTCCTAGCTTTATTATACTGAAACTTTTTCATAAAGTAGAAATCATTCCAAGAAGCTTGAAAAGAAAGATGAACTGTCTCAATTTATCCTTTTGCACCACCAAATGAAAATTTTAACTAGGAGCTTGCAAAAAAAAAAAAAAGCCAACACAGTGCTAGGCTGCATTAATAGAGGGATAGAATCAAGATCACATGCAGTGGTAATACCACTTTACAGTGCCTTGGTAAGGCCGCACTTGGAATACTGAATCTAATTTTGGTCACCACGATGTAAAAAAAGATGCTGAGAATCTAGAAAGAGTACAGAGAAAAGCAACAAAGATGATTGGGGGACTGAAGGCTAAAACATATAAGGAATGGTTGCTGGAATTGGGTATGTCTAACTTAATGAAGAGAAGGATGAGGGGTGACATCATAGTAGTGTTCCAATATCTCAGGGGCTGCCACAAAGAAGAGAGAGTCAAGGTATTTTCCAGAGCACCTGAAGGCAGGACAAAAAGCAACAGATGGAAACTAACCAAAGAGAGAAGCAACCTAGAACTAAGGAGAAGTTTCCTGATAGTTAGAACAATTAATCAGTGAAACAACCTGCCTCCAGAAGCTGTGAATGCTCCAACACTGGAGGTTTTTAAGAAGAAACTGGACAGCCATTTGTCTGAAATGGTATAGGGTTTCCTAGCTGAGCAGGGGGTTGGACTAGATGACCTCCCTTCCATCATCATCATCAATATTATTATTATTATTATTATTATCATCATCATCATCATCTAAGCCCCAAGTTCCTGGACTGCAATGTTTAAACCAGCCGGAAATGAAGTCAGCTTAAAAGAAAATAGCATGAGAAAGAACCTAAAAATAATCCCACTTTGATCTTATTTAATATCAGATAGGATAGAGAGAAATTCGCACCAGCTTTCACAATTTTGATATTGCCTTTTACTACAATAAAAAGCTTTTCTAGAGTCTGTGGTGTACCTATTTCTTGACCTGGCCTGCCTGTTGACACTTTTTTTGGTTGTGGATTCCAATTCTGATTTAACTATCCAGAAAATGCCCTGGTTTTATTCTTTTTTCATTATTTGATCTAGAAGGAGAAAGTGGCAGAATCACTTCTCATGATTAATATGAAGTAAAAATCATTTCCCGGTCCCATTATTCTATCAATGACAAATATTAAAAAGTCAAGACAAGAGAGGTTCATCCTTTCTTGTTATATCAGTGAAAAAAAATTGACATGTCCATTGTTTTCTTGTTCTATCACTAAACTTGTTAAAAAGAAACAACAAAAACAAGCAACCAAAAACAGGTTTTCCCCCTTCCAAGGATGAACTTTTTTAAAAAACAAAATGGCCGTGAAGAATGGAAAGATGAGGCAAATTTGTCTACAATGAAACGAGAGCAGGCAAACCAGATAGCAGGTGAGAAAACACGACTTCTGAGATATAGAAGAACAAAACACATCAAAGTTTGTCTTCCTAGCAGGTAAGATTGTAGGTAAGAGCCAAGATTGTACATTTCTGTCTTTGAGAAATAGCCAGTGATGCTGAACACAAGGATCAGCAATAAATGTCTTTTGCTTTATGGATCCTGTTTTAAAGGTGTACGGCAACTATCAAACCTTATGAAAAATTTTTTGCATTTGTTGGTTTAGCACGCACTCTAAGGATGAGAGTAGAGTTTTTTTTTAAAGGCATGCAAAAGAGACATTTATATTTCTTTCCCCTTTGAACAAAAGATCACCAAATTAGCAAAACATGTGCAATACAAGATTTCAAAATTGGAAATGAGACAAAAATGCTTGAAATGACTTATCCAGCTCAGGTTTTGTTTTGCAGGAAGAGGAGGAGGTCATTGGCTTCCATAGTGAAAGAAGACATCTTAGAGCAGTGTTTTTCAACCTTGACAATTTTAAGGCATGTGGACTTCAACTCCCAGAATTCCACAGCCAGCATTGCTGGCTGTGGAATTCTGGAAGTTGAAGTCCACATGCCTTAAAATTGTCAAGGTTGAGAATCACTGTCTTAGAGGTATAAATGCAGAGTATAAGTCAAATAAAACCAACAGGAGAATATTTATAGTGTTCAGTGCTGTTGAGAATATAGGGCCCTTGTTCAAGTGACAGATTTAATATTTTATTAATAAATGCCTGTATCTGCAGAAAATGTAAACAAATCCTTTCTGACAAAGGAAAATGTGTATAGCTGGGCAATGGATAAATCCATTTCTAAAATTCTTTTCTGAATCTGTATCCACTGAGTTATGAAAAAAATCAGGCTTGGAAATCCTTGGTCCCTTGTCATATTCCTGGTTAATCTTAATTTCTTTTACTCTGGCACAATTTATCATCATGCTTATTTGAAGGAATATATTATAATATTCCATCAGCTAAACATTTTGATCAGTATGGAATGGATAAGGCTGAGACCATGGTTCCTTTGACCTTTCTCTAGAGCAGTGGTTCTCAACCTTTTTAATGCCGCGACCCCCAACCAGTCATAAATCGAGGACTACTCAACCGGCCGTAAGTCGAGGACTACTCAACTGGTGCAGCATCGTTTGCAGAATGGGACTTTTGGCGGGCTCAGCAGGGCAGAGACAGCTTGGACAATTCCTATTGGCTTTTGAAAGCCAATACAATTAGACTCTATTCAAGAGAGTCTATTCTATTGGCTTTCAAAAGCCAATAGAATAAAAGGGAGTAGCACAGCTAAGGAAAAGGGGGAAAAAATGGCAGACTGCGTTGTTTGGCGACCCCCGTGAAATGGTCGTTCGACCCCAAATGGGGTCCCGACCCACAGGTTGAGA